ACACCAGCCTTTTCCGTATTTATGGAATACACCTTCCCGGCTGACAGATTCTTCCTTATTGGGCCCTGCATTTACTTTGCAATAACTGAATGTACCTTACCAACCTCAACTTGTCCCTTTTAATGTATCTTAGAGCAGCAAGATTTTTAACAAATCCTTTTTTATTATTGTCCGTGATTAAGTAATCTTAATCTATATTTTATTTATTTGTTTTATTATCTTATTTATTTTTCTATTTATTTTTCTATTTATAGATCTACTTGCACATGTATTTGTTTATGCACACATTTTAATATTCTTTCTTTTTTTTATTTGTATATTTATATTTCAATTATTTTTGCAGTTTTCCACTTCAGTTCAGTTATAATCATTACAACTAAAAACTTTGCCATTTTGAGTGGAATTGAGTGGATTTCATAATACACCAGCTCCTAAGGTAAATGCCTTTGATTGGCCATTGGTTGCTTAACACGACCGTGATTGGTTAGACCACTCACTGCCGCTAAGGAATTAAAAGATTTGATGAGATCAAAAGAGAATGCTTTTCCTGATTAGTTGATTGATTTGTTGATTGTTTTTTCAATTAAGCAAGCAGCTTTAATGTGTCTTCTACATTTATGTAATAAATGAGCAAAGATTACAGATGTTTGAAGAAGGACCTATGCATGATCTTCTGAAAAATTCAAGAATCTGACTTGAAGATTGTGCAGAAAAACTTCTGAAGGTTTGAGTGTTGCTTGACTTCTAATCAGAATGTTTGTTTTGGTTTTCCAAGTACAAAGGGCAATCATCTCTGAGCCCAAATATTATTTTGACAGCTCTCTTTTCCATTTTCACTGCGTTGGCTTGTTCTTTTGTTATCAAAGGTCATTTTTAAAGGTTTTTTTTAGAGAACTGTTCAGCAGAGATTGCTCCTGCAAATATACTCATCCTCTTCAGGTAGGAACATGCAAGGTGAAGTTCAAAAACCTTAAAAACGTTAGAGTGTATTCTTTGTTTTCCTCACAGAATGAAATGTAAAGAAATAATTCATCTCCAAAATGTCAACATTTGCACATTTTATATTTGCTATTAAAATACCAGAAGGCCTGCCAAGTGAACATTTCCACAATCTACTTGACTAGAGTGTGAAGTGCAAGATGCTGGACACCACAATTTTACTGTTAAAATGCTTAAATTTTGTGTTGTGGCCGGTACACATGGAAAATTATCATCGAGCTACATGTAAGTTTTGCTGACATGTTTGGTACTATATTATGTGCTAAAGTGAGCCACAGGTTACTGTGTTTGCATTGAATTCACCCAAGTAGATACTTATTAAATCTCTCTTTTTGTTCCACAGAAGAAAGAAAGTCATGCAGGTTTGGAACCATAAAAGAGTAAGTAAATAATGGATGGGTGAGTAAATGGCGTGGGCTTCAGTCGACCATGTTGTGCTCAGAGATTTATTTCGTTTGGAAGTTATTATAAGTGTGGAAAAATGACTTTACATAAGAGCATTGGAGAACGAGACAGCCCTCCTGTCACAGAACAAATCACCTGGCCCCCAAACCTACTTGTTACTATGGCATGTGTCACCATATCTGTCGTCTGTGAGAGAACTAGCTTTCTCACTGTCTTTTTTATTGAACTTTTTTTTAAATCCCTATACAGGGTGACAGCCAGAGCACTGTGGACAATGAATGATCTTTACAAAGCTATAACTTTGCCATCTAAAAGCTTTCACAGATCACTCTTTTATTTAACACTTACTTTACCTTTCAAACTGAAGTTGCATTGCAGTTTATAGGCTTACTGATTTTTGACCTAGAAACCAATGGCTTCAAACAAGCTGTTTGATATTGTGCTTTTGCTGAAACACTGAATGCATTGCTTCTTTCTTGAATGAAAAATGGCATTTGTCAAAAGCTTTAGAGAAGATATAACTCTTAAACAGACTCCTGCCTCAGGAGTACTGAGTTCAATTTGACTACTAACAAATAAGCCGTCGTGTATCCATTGAACCAGCGGTGACAGAATCCACCTCATTGAACTGAAGCATCATGTGGCCAAACCCAGAAGGAATCCAGAGAGGGAATCATCTGTGCAGGGGAGATAGACCACATTCTCACAGCTGCTTTCATCAGCTTGTGGCAAAATAACAGACAGATGAACTGCTAAAAACAAAACGCTTTAGCATTTCGGAATATACAGGTGCATCTCAATAAATTAGAATGTCGTGGAAAAGTTAATTTATTTCAGTAATTCAACTCAAATTGTGAAACTCGTGTATTAAATAAATTCAATGCACACAGACTGAAGTAGTTTAAGTCTTTGGTTCTTTTAATTGTGATGATTTTGGCTCACATTTAACAAAAACCCACCAATTCACTAACTCAACAAATTAGAATATGGTGGCATGCCAATCAGCTAATCAACTCAAAACACCTGCAAAGGTTTCCTGAGCCTTCAAAATGGTCTCTCAGTTTGGTTCACTAGGCTACACAATCATTATTGAGATGCACCTGTAGTGTGCAATGACCTGTCGTTATCGGCTCAAATCATTATATTAACTTCGGTCAGGCTATTTTTACAATATTTTCACTGGAGTACTATACAGAGTAAGTATGGAGAGAATTTTTGTGTTACGTTTTGCAGCAATCCAAAAGCCAATAGAAAAATGCTGTTGTTTTTTTTTTGTCTATGGAACCAGGGTGATGCTAACTTCTGGGTCGGCCTACAAAACACGTCATCACTTCAGCACATTATAAGACAACAACAGCAAAAACAGCGCATTTCGGCCTGAAGTGAAAATTTATCTGTTTTGTAAATGCATGTTATTAATCTTACTGCGAACTCTTCATCCATGCATATGTTTAATCTTGTAATATTTAATCAAAATATTACTTCTCCAATCATTTAGTCTGATTTTCACATTTCGAGTGAAGCGCCCACATCTCAAAATCCAAAGAACAACCGATGCATAAAAAGTCCCGCCCTACACTTTTTTTCTTTTTTTGAAAATCTTGGATTTCTGTCACAATATAGAACAAAAGATCAGTTGTTTCTTCCTTTACATCACAAACTGTGAGAAAAAAATGTTAAAACATTTTTTCAAATCAGAATGAACATAAATGTAGCTTTGGAAATGGGGTCACTTTAACAATTGCACTAGCTGTTTAACTAAATACAACACCCACCTCACACTGAATCCCATGACCTGAGGTTGTAGATAAAGGATATGCGGCCTTTATTTCTTTAGGAAGTGATGGATGAAATTATGTATTGGGTTGCATAGAGGGTCTGTGAGCAGATATGGCAGGGATGACCTGCTACGGATGTCTAGACAGATACTACAGGAGTTTTCAGCTTGAGAAAGCACCGGATCTATGACACACTCTCCCATTACTTTGTGTCCAGGCAGGCTGGCCTGTGGATAAATGTTGTCATGTTCAGGAAAGCCACTTGACTAATGGTTTCCACCATGCATGAAGCCATGAAATTACGTAGCAATGGCTAGTTCAGTGACGGTGCCTTGTATTCCATTTGGTTTCTGCTTTATTGTGCTGAGTGATTTTTGGAGATGGAATTTAACGTAGGCAGTGAGAAAAGAGGCTTCTGTGTCTGATCCGCTGGTGTGTGTGACGGAAAGGCAGGGCTGGATGTCAGTCTGTGAAGTCCTCTGTGGAATTGGATCCAAACCAAGAGGAAAGACTCTGAATGAAGTGTCTCTCCATTTTCACTCTCGGCTCAAGAGGAACAATAACAGATGCAGTTGATAGGAAATTCGCATTCTGAGCAGCAGAGTAATTCAAGAGTTTGTGAGGGTTTCTATTTTCTTTTTGACACACATTCTAACCAAGCCTCAAAACCAGTGCAACACCATTGTGTCAGTCAGGCAGCAGGTCAGCAGGGCGTTTGGGTTCAGGGTAGACAGCAGCAGCTGTATTTAAATCTGACAAGTGATTAACTTTGATTCTAAGAAACTTTTGTGGGAATTTGTCTGTACTGTACTAGTTCAATTAGTGTTGCTGGATGGCAGGAAAAGGGATGACGGAGCTCTCCAATACTGTGGTGCTGAAATGCAGTTGCAGCATGAACAACTCTGGGTGGGCCGTCTCATGCTGTGCTTTTTTATCAGCTCTAACTCAGATTCCTGTCATCTACCAGACGTAAAGGGATTTTATGTTATAATTATTCTAACCCTTTCAAAATATTTGCTGATAACAATCCACTTATTTTCAGCATCACAATATAACTCTGAAATGGTGTCTTATCAACAAAACCCTCAGTTGCCTAGAAAATAGTTTAAGTTTGTTTTAGCTAATTCAAACCACTTTTAGTCTTTCCGCTTCAAAATTTCACATTTAATTCAATGCAATGCAATTTTTTCCAATGCAACTTCTCAGTGAAAATTGTTTCTACACATTTTTCTTTTCAGTGTATATGGTAAGGTAACTTATAGTTCGAGTTAACTGCCCTGTTGTAGGATGAGAACAAAATTTGAACTGAATTGAGCTGGATAGTGACACTAGCATCGGCACTGTTATTTAACTGAACTGAATTAACATTGAACTGACATGAGCTGAATAATGACGCTATTTCCTTCTGTAGAGTTTCGTAACTGATGACATTCACAACATTGAACTAAATGGAGCTGAATAACGATCCAACTGAAATTGGATTAGTTTCATAACTAGTTTCACATTTACACTTATATTTTCCTGTTTATTCATGTGAAGCTGCTTTGAATCAATCGTATTTTATAAAACGCTATATGTGACTTTGACTTGACAGTTAACCAATTTACAGGTTTTTAGTGTAGCATTTTTGCGTTAATTCCCTCTCGTTATTTTTACAGTGTGCGTTGAGGGTTGTATTTCAGAAGTTAACCGCCGTGAGAAATAGCTCAGGCAGTAGTAATGAGCCGTATCTGTGGATCAATAGCGTGATGCTGCGCCGAGCGAATGTGTGAAAGAATGCGCGAGGGGTGGAGATCTGCTCTTTTACTTTCCACTCCACACAGTGCAGACGCAGAGATCTCATCGCTGTCAGAAGAGTCGCGCACTTGTACTCTTCCTTGAGTTTTTCATTTAGCAAAGCAAACACTTTATGTAGTCATCTTTTTTTCTTGTAACATTGCTGGTTTCTTAATTTGAGCGCATCACAGGACATCCGCGGTCTCCAGCGCTCCTCCAGCACAGACGCTGATTCTCTGTCGCCCTGCTGCGGTCCTCGCTGGAGCTGTGAGATTGTAGTAAGCGCCGCAGGATCCAGAACTGCAAAACTGTTTGAAGAAGAGAGCTTCCTCTTGTCCCGCCCGCCCATGGAAGGCGACGTTATGGATAAACTGGAGGACATGGCCTCAGTGTGCGAGTTCGACCCTATCACGGGGGATATTCCCGCCACCAAAGTGGAGATCACCGTCTCGTGCAGGTATGAGGCAGAATCACTTTACATTGACTCGCTCAAGTTGAAATCACTTTGATTTCATGGTGTTTATACTTCATGTTGACCACATAATATCACTTGGTTTGATTAAAGATTCATCAAATGTTTTTTTTAGGTTCAGCAAAGAATCATTTTCTTATTTAAAAAAACAAACAAACAAACAAAAAAAAAACGGTGCGGTCTTAAATTGAATATTTGGTTGTTTTGAGAAAAATTTAATTTTTCTTCTTTCTATAGGGGTTTTTCCCGACCAGCATACATGTTCTGTTAGCTGAGAGCATCTACATCAGTATGTAGATGGTTTTGGTCTAAAGAAGCCTAAAATGTTCTCCTTCGGGATCAGGCTTTATTTTTAGCTTTATTTTTATATCCTATAACTGTTAATGGAATACATTTTTTTGGGTTACACTTTATTTTAAGGTGTCCTTGTTACAGTGTAATTATACATTTAAATACTGAGTAATAACTACATGTAGCCTACTTACTAGTTAGGGTTAGGGTTTGGTTTAGGTTTACTTGCATGTAATTATGCATAATTACTAATTATTATAATAGTAACTACATGTAACGTGTAACAAGGACACTTTAAATAAACTGTTACCATTTTTGGTTATGAGCTGCCATGAATTTTAAGAAAATTAAGCTTTAGAAGTAGCAGTTCACATGCAACAATTTTGATTCCAGACTTTCTGGCTGTACAGTATTTATATGAGCATAAATATCTAATATATCTGGTGAGTTGCATCTACATAGGCTGCTTGCCCAAAGCACTTGATGTTGCTGCTCAGCTGTTTCCATATAGAGATGCCATAAGTTGTCAGATGCTCTGAACATCAAGGACAGTGAAGAAAAACATCATCTTTGCTTTGCATCAATAATAAATGTCATGTTTGGGTGTTTAGTTGTGTTACATGAACTGCTTGTTAGAGGAAATGCATCTTCAATTTCTTAACTAATTCTTTTTTTTTTTAGCTTGTAAAATGTGATATTACAACTAGTTGCCAAATCATAGCGCTGTAGTACTGAAGCAAACAGTGAATATTCATGAGAGGGAGCATAAAAACCCCACCCAGATGTCCTCACGTCAATGCATACAGCCTTCACTACAGTACAAAATAGCAGAGAGGGATTTTATGTTGCTTGCAACATAATTCCTGTTGTATCTGGGTGAATGTTTTTTGGCAGATGCTTATATCATCATCTTTACTTTTAGGGCAGACAATGTTGCTCTTATTAAGAATGAATCACTAAAACGCTGCTGCTGGAAAAACAGTTTCTGAGAAGTGGTGAAAATGAATTTGAGTCATGGGGCTCTGCAGTCAAGACCACAGCCGGTTCATTGCTTAGACTGATAGGTGGGCTATTGGTTTGGGTTTTCAATCATCTTGAGGAGTAATGGATACGGCTGGCATACTCAACATCTGCTATGTCTTTAATAGTCGCTTATAGTCAATTATACACGCTCCAGTCCAATTTAGACAAAATGATTTGACTGAATTTCCCAACTTGACAGTCAGACCATTTATTTAATGAGAGCAATTTCCTGTGCAAGTAGCTAATAACCATAAGCTCGCCAACTTCTCAGCTGCAAGTTAATATTGCCTGCTGTCTGCATAAAGAAAGAAAGAATACTGATTATGGGTGTAATTTGGTCTGATTGTTAGCTGAATAAATGTCTCTGTTAAAGACCAAGACTTCATCACATTAGCTAAATGTGATCTCAACTGTTTTTAATGAACTAGATACAAATTGCTTTTTAAAATTGAAGTACATTTGCAACTAAATGATTATATCAAAATACAAGCAATAGTGCCAATTACACATTACACACAACTCTGCAGTCTTTAGTAAGAAATTGCATTTTAATTTGAACTTGACATGACATATATTTGACAAGTATCATGGACGTATAAGAGCATATTTTTGCATTTTTTTCTACCCGTTTCTTCATACTTTCTCTTACGTTCCTTGTCAAAAAAAAAAGTAATGGGTTCATTATCCATTATAAAGGGATTTCTGTCATATATCTATATAGGTAATTGGTTCAAATAAGATTCTAATGGACCAAAAAAATATCTGGAGATTAAACTTAAAATAGGAATATGAGTTTGTTCAGTAGGATCTCATTTGATTCTAAGAGAATTTTTAGAAGATTCTTGTTTGATCTTATTAGGATTGATTCCTAATTCTAATTATGGAATTCTATTAGCTTTGCTTTATTGGATTTTTTTCACTCTTCCCACTTTTACATCACAGATAAAAAACCTCATTAGTGTTATCAAATATGTGGTCAAATTATAGATTAAAAAAATGCTGCTATTGTTATTTTTAATTGAATTAGATTTTTGCCACCTCATTGCTGCTGTGATTGAATCAATGAATAAGTAAATCTATTGGCCCTGAACCGTTATGGCCTTCTCTGTCAGCGCAGAACATTCTCTCCAGGTCTGTGATGAGACTCGGTGTGGTGGTGGTGGAAATCATCACCTGCGTTTGTTTGCTGTAATTGATTTAGTTTGGGCTGATTATCAGGGGATTGTGGCAGACATGGAATTGAATCGCTTCACTTCCCCTTCCAGATTCCCTCATAACCTGCTGATGTTATTGGAGAGCAGAAAGTTTGGTCTGACATACCAGAGGCTTTGTGATAAACCTTATCACAAACACACAAACAAATGCTGTCCTGTGGGTGAGAGATACGCGATTGATCCTGTTGTCGCACTAATTGGGTTTTGATTGGTTTGTGTTTTACTATAGTCAAATGGCAGACAAAAGCTTTTGGATATACTCAGTGGGTCTTAAGTATTAGAAAGATACTTTTTTTTGTTATACACTACTGTTTAAAGCTACCCAGTCTCATGGCAAAAACGTACCTGGAGGCACTTTTTCGCGAGACACGAAATACGTACCAATAAGTACATATCACTGCAGTTTCCAAAAGAAATGAACACTATAGGCAGTAAAACTCTGACACCTTTTAAATTATTTTCACACAAAGTATGATTTACAGAGTTTCGATTAATAAAGCGTAATTTTCACACAATTACTTGAAGAGTATTATGTTGTGACTTCAAAACATTTTTAATGTGCTGGGAGATTTGAAAACTGATGCTTTTGAATGTTAGCACCGCACATATCCAGCTTCATATTAATGGGTTTTCATAGACGATAGGTTTGTTCGGTAGCTCACGGAGTACGGAGACGTACTTAAGAGGTGAGGAACTCCGGTTCGAATCCCGTGTAACTACGGTTCAACAAAACAGTTCAAATCTGCATATAAAGAAGTTAAAATGGCACGGTTGCATCAAAAAATGTGTTTTTATATCAGTTTTGCATTTGTTAACACTATCGGGTAGGGTTAGGGTTGGGTTTGGTGTAGGGCATATTTCCAACACGATAGACCATTAACTTTTAGCGACAGTCCCCGGATATTTGAATTCTGAATCGCCGCAATACGTACCTGAAAAAATGTAATAAAAACACAGCAATACGTACCTATATCAACATAATAAAAACGTGCCAGGGATGACGTATTGAACCCGTGTTTTAGTGCCACTCAGTGGACAATTCTCTTTGAAAGTGCCGCAAAACGTGCAGTAAGGTACGTTAAAACGGTGTTGCAGAAAAGTACCCAGAGGTACGTATTTTTATGAGACTGGGTTGGTTTAAAAGTTTGCAGGAACTGAGAATGCTTTTCAGAGATTTTTGATTGAATTTTTATTGATTTGAAATCAATTTTACACTTCATTTTCTCTGAATCTGATCATTCATGAACTGAACACATCTGTCAGAACAGATCATTTTGCTCATAACTCAAATGTGTACATACACACACAATGTGTAGTTACTGCTTTTTACTTTTGAAACTAGAGGAGTAATGCTAAAAATGTATGTATTTCTCTTCACTCTTTCTCTGTAGTCTTAACCCCCCAAAATCAGCTTTGTGAAATTCTGATAATGCTTCAAATAACAAACATGCGTTTTAACTAGCAAAACCTTTTTGGATACTGCTGCATTGTGCTATTAAATATGCTTGAAATGGCTCTTTAAAATCACAGATGTTTCTTCACCTAAAACCATTTAATCCTAAATATACTGGACATCAACAAAGCTCCTTGCTGCTGGGAAATATGGTTTTAGCAAGGGTGTCCTTGCCAAAAACCATGTGTCCCTGTTGTTGTTACTATCCTTCATGAGTAGCTCTCTGTGTTGTAAAAGTAGAAGAATAAAGTTGCAGTTGTTGGCAAGCTTCAGTTTCACTGCAGATCCACGTCCTCCTCTTAGTTGACCTTGCAGGTGAGGAACCAGATCATGGAATACATCTACATTCACTCTGCACCCCTCTGTTGCTAGACTCTCTCTAGGCTCTGCTCTGCTGAGAAGGGCTCTGTCTGGTGGGTATTTGCAAACCTGGAGATGATTTACGGTTGGGGTTTAGCTCCATTCTCAGCATGTGACTTGATTCCAAATGGAGCCGTGGTGTATTGTAAGCCGTTATTGTTCTTTTGCTATTCGTTCAGCTCCAGTGCCTTTTATTTCTGGATTTCCTCATATATGTTTGAAAAATGGTGCACCTTTAGTCCCAGAGCTGTGAATATTAGAACAGACGTTTACATATTCCTTAGTGTCCTGCTTCCAACATGTCTTCCTTCCAAGAGTTAAAGGTATAGTTCTCCCCAAAATGAAAATTTGCTGACCCTCAGATGACCAAAGGTGTACCTAGATGAGTTTGTTTCTTCATCTGAACAGATTTTGAGAAATTTAGCATTACATTACTTGTTCACCAAAGGATCCTCTGCAGTGAATGGGTGCCGTCAGAATTAGGGTCCAGACAGCTGAAAAAGCATCACAATAATCCACATGTAATCCACACAACTCCAGTCCATCAGTTAACATCTTGTGAAGTGAAAAGCTGCATGTCTGTGAGAAACATATCCATCATGAAGGCATTTTAACTGTAAACTGTCGCTTCTGGGCAAAATAGA